TACAGAGGCATGAAAACCCGCTTTTTTCTCAGTGGGTGGAAGAGGTTTTGTAAGGGCTTTGGAAGTGTTCTCACTGGGGGAATCCCGGTTGTGTGGAAACAGCAGAGATTTTGAAGATAAGTCTTGTCTAAATGGAAGATCTGTAGAAGGAACTTAATGGACAACTGTGCTTTCTATTCCAAGATTTCTATCTAGGAATGTGCTGTGCTTTAACCTACCACTGCAACGTGAGCAGAAACCAGCAATATATTAATATTAATATTCCAATATCAGAGTTTCTTTTTCAAATAAGTAACGCCAGTTACTTTGTTTTCCCATTTATTGACTGACAGCTCTCCTGTCCCCATGTTGAGAGAAATGCAAAGTGCAAAGGCATTGTGTGCGCTGTGTGAATATGACGCTTACTGTAGTTCTATACTAAATGTGAACATGCATTTACTCATCTCACTTGCACAAAATAGATTCAGCATGCCACAAAATTAATAAAAACAGTGAAATGCAAATTCATAATATAACTCAAACCTGCAATAATTATGTTAACAAAAAATTAACTTGTGTCTTTGCTGCTGACCTTCAGTGATTCAATTTAACCATACTAATAAGCAAAAATGACTTTATGTTATTGAGAAGAAAGTGCTGAACTTTCTTCTCTTGCATCCTATTCTTCATGCATTCCAGAATGGCAGCACAGTTGAAAGGTTTGTTTGAGCTGCACCCTCCACTGTACAAATGTAAATTAGTATTTCCTTCAGACTGAGGCTTATTCATTTCACTTTTGGTGTGAACGGGCTTTTACATTTGTCAAAAATCAATTTTTTAATAGCCTAATAAATACAAACAAGCAACCCTAATGCCAGATGAGAAAAAGTAACGCAAAAGTAATGCAACATTACTTTCCATAAAAAGTAACTAAGAAATTAGTTACATTTTAGGGAGTAACGCAATCTTGTAATGCATTACTTTTAAAAGTAACTTCCCCCAACACTGCTAACGTCCAACTAAGCGGGTGTTTACACTGTTTTCAATCAAAAATGGGATTTTACTTTTTCAACTAAAAACAGGATTCAAAGTGCATGTTTTTGAAAACGATACTGTTATCGTCTCTGTGTAAACTATGAAAATGCAGATTTGTGAAAACAGTGATGTTATGCATGTTCAGTCTACAGGTGCAGGCATGTAGTGTTTCTTTACAAAGTGACATCGCCAACTACTGGCCTGACATGCATAACACAGCGTTTTTAGTCGTTTTTAGGAAGTTTAGGGGATCGTTCTGATAACGTTGTCATCTGTACACAAAAGATTTCAAACACTCAAAAGGAAAAACTGTTTTGTTTTTAGTACATTGTTGTCATGTAAACGTACTCTAACATGTTTCAGAAAAAGATTCCATGAATGAGAAAGTCTGGCCAAGAATAGATAACCAAGATCAGATAACTTTGAACGAATGTTCTATTAATGCTACTGAAAGAACCTTGCAAGAATGTTAGCCAAAGTTATGAGAATGTTGCCTGTTAGCTGGGCTTTATGGGAGATAATAACATTTCAGTATAGTCAAAAACAAAATAAATGTCTAGAAGGCAAATAAAGTTCATTACTTCAACTTGAATTTGCCATTATCGAAAATAAGAGAGTGATGATGGCAGGCATCTTCAGTGTGCCAGAGAGCGAATGCTCATAACCTTTTCAGCCCTCTCTTGCATAATTATGCCCGAGGGGAAAGCAGACAGACACTTTTAACAAATAACCTGTCACCCATGCAAGCATCTTTTTACTTTTTAATCTCAACATCCTTAATCTAAACTCCTTTAAAAGCCATCTCAGCTGAAGCGATAGATGCTTCCGATGCTCTCTCAGTATGACTGTCTGTGATTTACCCGGCTTGCAACAGTGTGATGTGATCTGTGGTGCAAATGATCTAATTAGTCAAATATCTTGACTACTCAGACCTGAGAAGTCTGCATGTCTTGTTCCTTATGGTGGAAGCTTGTCAATTAGAGAGTTGTTTGCTTCAGCTAATTGTGAATGCGTGAAGGGTTCTTGTCCTTTAAATCTGTTTTGAGCAAAAATACAATATTGAGTAAACTTTAACTAAATATAGGTTAAGAAAATACACCAGTAAAATTAAAATGACACAAGAAAAGTATCTTATTCTGCATCAATAATGAGTATTTAATGGATTTGCAATGTAAGCATATAACACAATATGTAAACATTACTATATGGAGAGCAAAAGCCTTACACACGAAAAAAAGATCGTCGTCAATACCTTTGTGTTTCACCTGGCTCAGGAAAAATGGCCCATCACTCAATGTAATGTGCCATTCTAAGAGCTGTCAGTCATAAAAACTGCAGAAATAAATGCCACGAAATACTGATGCACAGGACAAGTGTTAGTTACGAAGGGTTGTTAGGTGCAAACTGTTGAGGCATGTACACGATTACACTTATAATGCTAACTGTGTCTGAGGATAGTGTGATGCTGTTTGACTCATGCAGCAAATGAGCATGACACAAAAATCTGTTTTGAGCAAAAATACAATATTGAGTAAACTTTAACTAAATATAGGTTAAGAAAATACACCAATAAAATTTAAAATGACAAGAAAAGTATCTTATTCTGCATCAATAATGAGTATTTAATGGATTTGCAATGTAAGCATATAACACAATATGTAAACATTACTATATGGAGAGCAAAAGCCTTACACACGAAAAAAGATCGTCGTCAATACCTTTGTGTTTCACCTGGCTCAGGAAAAATGGCCCATCACTCAATGTAATGTGCCATTCTAAGAGCTGTCAGTCATAAAAACTGCAGAAATAAATGCCACGAAATACTGATGCACAGGACAAGTGTTAGTTACGAAGGGTTGTTAGGTGCAAACTGTTGAGGCATGTACACGATTACACTTATAATGCTAACTGTGTCTGAGGATAGTGTGATGCTGTTTGACTCATGCAGCAAATGAGCATGACACAGAGGCCTAGTAAGACAGTAAAATATACAGGGAGACAATGAAGTTTAAGCCTTTAGCCAATGACTTCACAGTAGTGCAACATTGTGAAGCAGTCTTGCCCCAGATCAAAAAAGTACCATGATATTAATGCCCTCGAGGAGCTTGCTTGTCCTACCAAAAGCTGCATATGTAATATGACACATGTATTAAAGGAATAGTTCACCTAAAAATTTGCTGAAATTTTCTCACCCTCAGGCCAGCCAAGATGTAGACGAGTTTGTTTCTTCATCAGAACAGATTTGGAGAAATGTAGCATTACATCACTTGCTCATCATTGGATCCTCTGCAGTGAATGTGTGCCGTCAGAATTCACCAATATATTAGTTTAGAACTGTTTTTGCTTGTAAACCACTCTTGATCTGTGCATATTTCTCTTCCGATTCACACAAGATTACTTTTTCTCTGGAGAAAGCAGTATTATGGATAGAGGACTTGCGTTTTAGCTGGAAGCAACAAATGGAAGTTAAAATTATGGATTTATTTCTTACAAACACACAGCTTTTTGCGGCACAAAATGTTAATTAATGGACTGGAGTGGTGTGGATTACTGTGATGTTTTTATCAGCTGTTTGGACTCTCATTGTGACGGCACCCATTCATTGCAAAGGATCCATTGGTGAGCAAGTGATGATGCCACATTTCCCCAAATCTGATCTGATGAAGAAACAAACTGAACTAGATTGCAAAAAAGCAGATTTTGAACCATGCCTTCAACAAAAAAAAGACTTCAAGTATAAGATAGATTGATATAAAAGCCACAGTTTTGAATGCTTAATTAATTACACCTCAATATTTTGGTAAATGCATTTATATATCTATAAACTACTTGTTTTGGTCAAAGTTTGAAATATTCTCCTCATGAAAGAATGAAATTTCTAGATGAATCCCACGGAGGCATGGCATTTCATGTGCAGTACTTGAGAAGAAATGGCAAGCTCACTGAAGGGCATCAAAATACCACAAAAGTTCCCCCTCTTGAGTCTTTTGTAAATTCTTACCCAGAATGATGTAAAGCTCCTCTGAGACAATGGTCACGGTTGACTCCAGAGAGAACGATGGTGCAGCATACCGACACAACAGACTGGTGCAGAGCCACTGAAGCCCGAGGAAGACGACGATATCCTGCTCATCGGTGTCCTTTGAGGAGAGGACACGTGCACTGGAGTCTCACACGAAGGACAGCAGCAGCCTCCAGCTGTGTGCGGGCATTAGCACACCCACAAGTACCTATGCTTGATCAATGACTCAATGTTACACAACTCTTCTATAGTACTCAGGGATAATGTGGCTAGACAAGCACAAAGGGTTGACACAGGGGACAAACACACCTGCCAGAATTCAACACTGCTGATTGCTGCCGTAGTAAATTGTGTTTACAGAGCACTCTACAGGAGCGCATTTACACATTTAGAAGGCTGTCTAGTTTTCGAGCACACAATCAATATTTTGTGCTCTTAATTAGCAAGCACTTCTAATTGCCTTGGGAATTGATTGAATTAGGAAATGTGGCCGTTACATGTCAGAATGGTGCCAGGTGGTTGGAGGCAGCTTTATGATGTCAGCAGAAAAGAAAGTTGTTTCAGAGAGTTATTAAATTTTATATAGGGAAATAAATTTCCCTAAAAAAAATAAAAGGCAGTCCCAGATCCGGGCGGAGCAGGCAGTTCAGGTTACCATGGCGGAGCTGGCAGCTCAGGAGGCCATGGCGGATCCTCCATGGCTTTTGTCGGCTCGGCCACGGGTATATGGCCCCCCAAAAAAAATTTTCTTGGGAAAGACTAGGAATCCTCCGGGGCGCTCTGGAGGAGCGGGCACTTGAGGGCGCTCTGGAGGAGATTCAGGGAATGGAGCCCTCCTTGGGCTAAACACGGGGACAGGAGCCCTCACTGGCCTAAACTTGGGATCTGGAAACCTCTCTGGGTTATACTCGGGGAACAGGAGCCCTCCGTGGGCTATACTTGGGAACCGGAGCCCTCCGTGGGCTTAACGGGAAATCAGGAGCCCGTCCTGAGCTAAACCGCCACCGGGGTTGCCACGGGAGCGGCCGGTGGGCTGGAGAGAGCCGTGGCTGGCGGTCTTGACTGAGGAACGGCCGGCGGAGGGGTTCCGGATCGGGATCGGAGACTCTCTATACACCGGATGACTGTCTCCTTCCAGTTGAGGTCGGCGGTGTCTGGGAGCTCCGTGGGCTGATGGAAAGTCATCCCAAGCCAGAACAGCGTCACAAGGGTTTTCCCCTTGAGGGATCTGACGAGGGCGAGCGGCAGAGAGAGAGACGAGGAGTGCATCAATCCAAATGGGTTTAATTTAGACAAAGGAACACGGAACACTCATGCTATACATGTAGACATGAACAATACCGGACGCTGAACTAAAAACAGGAAACACTATTTAAACACATGATAAGACGAGGGGGATGACGAGACACACCTGGGATCAATGAAAACAAACTGGGAACACCTGGGATTAAATCAACAATCAGGACAGGAACAGGAAACTAACCAAATATGGGTATAAACACTGGGACACAGGGAGTACATGGTGAACAAAACACAAGCCTGACAAAATCTAAACAAGTTGTGCTCCAAATTTGAGGTTGATATCTTAAAAATGAGCTTTTAGTAAGATTTTGTTTGGGCGCAGTTCCAAACTTTTCCCATTAGATGCCAGCTATATTCTGCTGGCACAGCGATGGGATTTGTGATTCGCAGTTCGGTATAATTACAGGCGCATGGACCCAAACAGTGAACATGATTTCCCCAAATACATGTTCCTGGATCAAAATCCCAATCAACCAATCAGAATTGAGGGATAAATTTACAGGAAATGTCTGTTTTAGGCTTACAAGGGTTATGTGCTTCTGCACCCTTGTTATTCAATTCCATCTGATCTTTGAGATAAATTATGGGTAGGGTTAGGGTTAGGTCTATGTTTTTAGACAGTAATGTTGTTCCAGGATCAACAATACATGTTAACAAGCGTAACTTGGCAAAATCACGGCGACCGCACAGAAACACACACACACACAATATTTTGGATCTTGAGTCCTGAGGTCCTGAGTGTAACTATTTTGTCTACCTAGTGTAAAATAGATTTATTAAAGGAAATAAGGGTGAAATATTACAATTCTAATAAAAATACACACTTGTGGCAAAAATTATGCTGTTGGCATTAACACAGGAAAAAGACACAAATTCCATAAGGAAGCACACGGGTTAAACTTCAAATATTCAGTTTAAGCAACGCTGTAATTTTTCAATTAATACAATACTCAGAACACCTTTGCAACTGCATAGCAAGGACACCTGCATGGGCAAGCACAAAAAAAAGAAGAAAGAAATTAGTTTAATACAAATTTAATTTCAGGGCGCATTCAGGATGGTCTTACTCAACCAAAGCTCTTACTCAAATGAAACAGGCACTAATCATCAGTGAACAACTGTAAACACTCATGTCGAAATGGCCTGGAAAATGGGGCATAGTAATAAGCTTCAAGCCTTTCAAGCTGCTTTCTCCAGAATCCTCTGACAGCTTTCAAAGCGGAAGTCTAGAAGCATACGATTCAAGGTTGTTCATCCCGTTTATTATGAGCGCCTGAACTAATTAGGTAAACATTGTGCCCTGAATAAATCTGTAGTTAATCTTTCTTTATCCACATGAAAGACTGATTCGATTAAATATCAAAGGGTTAGACAAAACTAGAGAGGACACAGGAAAAATCATTCCCAGAAGGACGAAGAGGTATTTTTGGAGAGGTGTTTACGCAGAACATGCGCTACTAGATCAAAGAGCTCAGGTGCTCGATTTCATTCATTAATCGACAGACATTCAAATTACCATCGCTCTTCCCCAAGAGATCTCGTCTCAAAGGCTTATGCTATCTGCATGTACTTCCTCCCACTGCTTTCAAGAATTGTTTTTTGGTTAATTCAGTTAAATAGTGATGTCTGCATTAACATTATAATAATGATAACTGATATTATTACAGAAGGATATAGCACTCTGCTTTCGGCTTTCTTTCATTTACAATTATTGTTATGTCTGGTTCTGGACTAACTAGATAGAAAACAAACAAAAAAAGAAATACAGTTTGAAACTTAAGACTTGCACTATTTTCCAGTCTAAAAAAATCTAATACTGTAACTTACTTCTGCCAGGAACACGGAACACTCATGCTATACATGTAGACATGAACAATACCGGACGCTGAACTAAAAACAGGAAACACTATTTAAACACATGACAAGACGAGGGGGATGACGAGACACACCTGGGATCAATGAAAACAAACTGGGAACACCTGGGATTAAATCAACAATCAGGACAGGAACAGGAAACTAACCAAATATGGGTATAAACACTGGGACACAGGGAGTACATGGTGAACAAAACACAAGCCTGACAAAATCTAAACAAGTTGTGCTCCAAATTTGAGGTTGATATCTTAAAAATGAGCTTTTAGTAAGATTTTGTTTGGGCGCAGTTCCAAACTTTTCCCATTAGATGCCAGCTATATTCTGCTGGCACAGAGATGGGATTTGTGATTCGCAGTTCGGTATAATTTCTCTCTCAAACATTACAGGCGCATGGACCCAAACAGTGAACATGATTTCCCCAAATACATGTTCCTGGATCAAAATCCCAATCAACCAATTAGAATTGAGGGATAAATTTACAGGAAATGTCTGTTTTAGGCTTACAAGGGTTATGTGCTTCTGCACCCTTGTTATTCAATTCCATCTGATCTTTGAGATAAATTATGGGTAGGGTTAGGGTTAGGTCTATGTTTTTAGACAGTAATGTTGTTCCAGGATCAACAATACATGTTAACAAGCGTAACTTGGCAAAATCACGGCGACCGCACAGAAACACACACACACACAATATTTTGGATCTTGAGTCCTGAGGTCCTGAGTGTAACTATTTTGTCTACCTAGTGTAAAATAGATTTATTAAAGGAAATAAGGGTGAAATATTACAATTCTAATAAAAATACACACTTGTGGCAAAAATTATGCTGTTGGCATTAACACAGGAAAAAGACACAAATTCCATAAGGAAGCACACGGGTTAAACTTCAAATATTCAGTTTAAGCAACGCTGTAATTTTTCAATTAATACAATACTCAGAACACCTTTGCAACTGCATAGCAAGGACACCTGCATGGGCAAGCACAAAAAAAAGAAGAAAGAAATTAGTTTAATACAAATTTAATTTCAGGGCGCATTCAGGATGGTCTTACTCAACCAAAGCTCTTACTCAAATGAAACAGGCACTAATCATCAGTGAACAACTGTAAACACTCATGTCGAAATGGCCTGGAAAATGGGGCATAGTAATAAGCTTCAAGCCTTTCAAGCTGCTTTCTCCAGAATCCTCTGACAGCTTTCAAAGCGGAAGTCTAGAAGCATACGATTCAAGGTTGTTCATCCCGTTTATTATGAGCGCCTGAACTAATTAGGTAAACATTGTGCCCTGAATAAATCTGTAGTTAATCTTTCTTTATCCACATGAAAGACTGATTCGATTAAATATCAAAGGGTTAGACAAAACTAGAGAGGACACAGGAAAAATCATTCCCAGAAGGACGAAGAGGTATTTTTGGAGAGGTGTTTACGCAGAACATGCGCTACTAGATCAAAGAGCTCAGGTGCTCGATTTCATTCATTAATCGACAGACATTCAAATTACCATCGCTCTTCCCCAAGAGATCTCGTCTCAAAGGCTTATGCTATCTGCATGTACTTCCTCCCACTGCTTTCAAGAATTGTTTTTTGGTTAATTCAGTTAAATAGTGATGTCTGCATTAACATTATAATAATGATAACTGATATTATTACAGAAGGATATAGCACTCTGCTTTCGGCTTTCTTTCATTTACAATTATTGTTATGTCTGGTTCTGGACTAACTAGATAGAAAACAAACAAAAAAAGAAATACAGTTTGAAACTTAAGACTTGCACTATTTTCCAGTCTAAAAAAATCTAATACTGTAACTTACTTCTGCCATACTGCTTTTCCCGAAGGGTGATTTTATTTGTGCACTGCTGTGCAATAAATCTCAACTGTCAGTCATTCTGTTTTAAAATCAGTCTGGAGCCTTTACAGTGCCATCATGTCAATGTCTAAGCTGAAGAAATGTGTAACAGCCAAATGAACTGACAATACCTCTTTAACAAGGAGATCCAGGCAAGCAAGAGGAAACAGGATCTAAATGTGGCAGTTTAATCAATGAAAACAAAGCAGGAACAGAATCCAGGGAAACACAGGGAAACCAGGGTTTAAATACACAAGGGTTAACAAGGAAATAAGACACACATAGGGAAACAATCAAATGAACCATTGATCAATAAAACTACTAAGAACTACACACTGGCACAGGAAACAGTAAAATCAAAGACAAGAACTACAACATAAAAGTCCAAACACAAGACAAAATCGGAAACATGTCACAATCTATACATATATGAAGTTTTACTGCATGCCTTTATATACTTGTTTTTTTCCCCCCTTAATCCTCAAGTTTTGTTCAGTGTCTAAGAATCCCCAAGGCCATTTTAATAACTAAAACAACCTACATAACATTGAAGAATCCAGTTAATACTCAAAGACTTTTCTTTGTCTTATGAGAAATGAATCTATAAATTTTAACTTAATTTCATGTTTCAAAATGTTCTCAATGCGAAATGTTACATTACGTTTGGTGTCTCAGAGTCTCCAGATATAAAACATAAATATATTTTGTTGTACTGGATTTTTTCTTCTTCTACAATATGTTTTAGCTGGGGTCAAAAAAAAAATCCTCCAAACAATATTGTATAAATAACATTTCCAAAAAGTGCATACTTAGTTTATATGACAGATGGCTAAAGCTTCAATAATATCTTACCTGGTTTTGTTTAGGTTAGAGGAATATTGTTTAAAGAAATTACAGAAATTGTAATAATATTCATTTAATCACATTTTTTTATATTATTTTTATTTAAATATACGCCTTAACCAGTTTCAACCAATTTTATTTTTTATTTATATACTATTATAGTATTTATTAATATTTTAAATTAGCTTTTATATTTTATATTACCATTTTATTTTTAATTTTAGTTTAACTTTTAATACATTTATGTGTTTTGTCATTTTTTCTAGTGTTTTAAAGCTAAATCCATTTAGCTTTCATTTTTATTTTAGTTTTAGTAATTTTAGTGCTTCAACTTTAACTTATTTCAGTTATTATTTGTTTTTTTT